CCCCCAACAAACAAACAAACACCCCCAACAAACACCCCCAACAAACAAACAAACAAAATGCAAAAAAAAACCACACACAAAAAAGAAAGAAATACAAATATGGAACTTAACCCCCCCTCAGCATTTTTTCTTCATATTGCCACAGCATATTTTTTTCATGAGCCAAGCCTTCAGGAGTTTTCCAGCAATTCTGCGCTTTAATTTTGACACCAAGTTTGTGAAAATTGGAGTATAGTGCCCATTTTTCCGAGACAGGTCAGCCAGAAATGTTGTCACTGTCGTGCTCAGTGCGCACGGGTGGCATTGAACTTCAAAAGACCATAATGACAAAACCACATGTCAGATCAAGTTGAAACGCAGCGTTTGTACTGATAAGGAGTGTGCCTACCAAGTTAAAAAAAACAGGTGTGGGATGGCCGAGTTCGTAGGGGGTCGACCACTGTTGGGGGAAGGGGGCTATCACTGACCCCAGCCGCCTACTTTTTCGACTAGAATGGCCCCCCACTTTTGGCAGGTTCTTTAATTGCTGATGCATGATGGTCTCACAAATGCCCCCCCCCCTTTGAAAAATATATTTCTGCCGTTGGGGTAGACCCCCCCCCCAGCTGTGAGATGGTCCAAAATAACCTGGCTTTTTCAGGGTTTATCTAGAGTCCCTGTGGGTCAGTCTCTTACCTCACACCTCTCTTTCTCAGTTTTTTTGTGACTGTGTGTAATTATCTGGTTATGCCAACATCTCCACATGGAGTGCACTGGTGTATAAATATAAGCCAGCTGACGAGCAAAGGCTCCAAGTAGGAGCAGGTTGGAGGGTGCGCTTCATGGTTCTCATTTGCCTCTCAGAGGATGGCCGTCATTAACATGAAATACGGTGGAGTGCATGGCAGGCCAGCATAGATGTAATGCTGCACGTTGGTCCATGCAGTTGTGGGCACCTCTGTCCAAGAATATAGTGGGATATATTGAAAATCCCAGAGGAGATCGGGGTAACCGGAAATTCATAGGCCTTTTTACTAGGATGCGAAAGTCCTGATCAAAAATCCTTCAAACTCCTCAGACTGCGTCCGGGCAGAAATTGGATACAGCCTCCTTCTTTCAAAATTGCCCGGCTGTTACTGCTAGTATATTTGAGGCGGTGTCACTGATATGAAACAGTGTAGAATGAATTCTATTGTGCTCTAGGCATGTATTGTGTATGGCTGAGCATAAATGCACAACAGGTCTGGCTCAAGACCTTGACACAAAGCATCCTTGGAAATCAGCCACACATTTTTTTGCCATAGGGTGTCACTCCTTCGAAATCCTCCAACCTTCGTAAGGAGGTTTTGGGTGAGATTTGGGAAAGGTTAGGGTTATGACACTCTCGCGGGTTTTCCAGTGTCGGTGACAATGGCCACAAACCTTCTTTAGTATGAAAGCCTTTTTGAGGAAACCCAAAACAATACCGTTTATTTTTCCATGGTGACAGTCGAAGCCATGACTGATCACTCTCATGATAAACAGACATTGCATGCCAGGATCAGATTGGGGCAACTTTTGTTCCATGTGAAGATATGGATGGAGAGGGCCTGTCATTTATACTGTAGTCCTCTCTGGAAATTTTCCCAATATAAAATATAAAATCCTGTGCATGGATTTTTACCTAACATGATAAAGCAGTGAATAACAAATGTTACCCCCCAGGTCAGTACTTAAAGTTTGTGTGTGTGGAAATGGCATGTATTAACGTTGATGTTGGATTACCTTAAATTCAAGTCCAAATCTTGATTTTCTTGGTATGTCGTCTACCACCGAAGTTACTTTTCATGAGGCAGAAATAACAAGAAGTACTTGGTCGAGGCCCCTATCCCTTGTTTTTGTGTTTTCTCTCAAGTCCGAGTGATGAAAAATACTCGTCAAGGTGGGAGTCTGAGTCACAGGCTAAAGTCCTTGATGCTGGTGTATGCGAGGACACATTTGATAGACTCAGGTCTTACTCCTCGCTCAAACAGAACTACAAATTGCACCGGCAGAAGTTGTGTTGCGTTTGAACTTGTTTCTCACTCGTTATCAGATCTCGGCCATGACGGTTGAGCTGAGTGATCGAGATCGAGGGGTCAGCCCCGCCTTGCCGTCAAGCAGAAAGAGGAAACGGGAAGGGTAAGTCGTCTTTAGTGACTTGCATGAAGGATGTTGGTAGGATTTCCGTGGCAACCACTCAGATGCTTAGAAATTTACCAGTTAGTTTTGGCCATCTGATTTGGTTGACCCTGACCTCAACTGAAGCTACAAGCTCTGGAACAAACACTGAGTGTACAGTATAAGTTGGTGTGAAGGCAAAACCCCAGATTAAAAATTAACATTTCCCCACCCAGACGTGAAAAAAATACCTCTTGGAAAATACTGCCCCTCATAAATGATAAGTAGTATAAAGTTCCTAAACCCATTCATTTAAGGCACTTATAGTACTTTTAGTGCATGGTACTTTAGCCCAAAGTACTACCCTGATGCAAAAAAAACCTCGTGGGAAAAACTGCTCTCCGTAAATGGTAACTAGTAAAGAGGTCCCTAACTTATTCATTTAAGGCACATGGAGTACTTTTAGTACAAGGCTCTTGTAGTACTTTTAGTACATGGTACTTTATAGCCCTAAGTACTACCCTGATGCAAAAAAAAACCTTGTGGGAAAAACTGCTCTCCGTAAATGGTAACTAGTAAAGAGGTCCCTAACTTATTCATTTAAGGCACATGGAGTACTTTTAGTACAAGGCTCTTGTAGTACTTTTAGTACATGGTACTTTATAGCCCAAAGTACTACCCTGACTGCAGTCATGATAATTTTGACATCAAAGTTGAAGGGACTAAAATACTAAGTAGTATTTTGTAGTGTAAGTATTTTATAGTGAATGGTTCAGAATTTATATCAGTATCTTGGTGACTGTCGTCTACAGACCTGTACGTGTATTAGGAGGATTTGATGGAGACCGGACTCTGCAAGGATCAAAGCGTCAGACCTGCCAACTTTCTCAAACAGATGTCGTTGAGATTTTTTCTCACTTAGTTCGTAATGTGCTGCATTTGTTGGCTCAAAAGGAGTCTTTGGAAATTGCTACACTAGGTTTTGGTACACTAGAATGTTGCGCGTCAAAGTGAAGGATCTTTCTCTACATAAACTGGTTAAGAGCTACCTCTTCTCTATAAGATTTATTCCGTTACTCAACTACAAGTGCTTGAAACATTCACCAGAGGACTCATGTCTGCAAAGCGTTGAAAAATAGTTCCTTGTTCTCACTTTTCCCCCTAAGATCCCCCGGCCCCAAGGCCCAAGATGACGCCTCCAAAAACGCCAAGACTCCAGCCTCCGACGAGAAGCCGCAGAAGGAGGAGGGGCAGCTGGATGTGCAGAGGGAGGACAACCTGGAGAGCTTGCTGTCGGCCACGTCCTTCAAGGAGCAAGAGGTTGGTCAGCCGCATTGACCCCGGAGGAAGCAGAAGCCAGGATGGCAGTATACTAAGAAATCCCTGTCAGCGTGGCCAGTAGCTGTTGCCACCAGGGCTTCATCTAGGAATCAAATACCCGCCTGTCCTGTCCCAGCAAGGGTTGAAAAAAAACTGCCTGACCCCTCTCAGCAAAATTGTCGAAAATCGTTACGTCCTAGTGCCATCCGTGCTCATCTGTTTACAGATTTATGTTAAGGATTGTGCAATTCTTGTCCTTTTGACGGGGTAGCTAGACAAGACACTGAGCGTCTCAGCAAAAGGGTTCACAGGGTAGTCGGTGAAATCTTGCTGTGCGTACATAGGAGCGGGTAGGGAAACCATTGCATTGTTTTCTATCATGCATTATAAAGTTTAGTAGGATTGGTAATGTTTGGCAAAGACCTATTGCTTTGCCAGAACCAGTCAGCACTGGTTGTTTGGAAGACAGCTGCACTCTTTACGACAGTTCGTCAGACTTTAAGAGTAATAATGGAAGAATTGCATTGAGTTAATTGAGTAATTACCCTACTTAACTGCACTGATTGCAATTCTTTTCCAGAACAAAGAGATGGGACAAGAGTTGTTTGAGCTGTTAAGCATTCCCACGGCTAAGGAGCAGTCATTGGTTGAAAAATTCAAATCCCAAGGAGGTAATGACCAATCACAGTTTATAGTCCACAATTCCCTAATCCCAAGTGCAGTGTCAGTCCGTATCGTGCGCTCTGACTTTTGCCATGGAATGAGGCAATCGTGACCCAACCTCATTACATATGAGTCGCACGTCGTCAGAGCAGACTTTGAATGAGAGGCCTTTAAGAGAATCTAGCACCATTTGTTTCACCAGTGTACATGTCGTGTCCATTTTAATCAAGATGCCAAATGGGCGAGACGTCCAAACAGAGAACTTGACTTGTTTTTTCCTCTAGACTCGTCTTGTGCTTCCGAGATCACTTTGAAAATTTACAGAAACTTGAAGAGATTTCAAATGCTCCAGGACACAATTATACACTGGGGTACAAGTTAGATGCTAAAATCAGCCGCAAACTTTTCACGCACTTTCTCTGTTGTGTGGTTTCGTCTTCAAGGAACTGTGCAAGAATTCTGTGCGCATGGAACCCGAGCTGACTGCATTAAAGAAATGGGTGCCAATCACACGTGCAATAAGGTAACATCGAAAGCCCAGTTGCCAACAGTGACTGTTTACCCGGTAACCCGTACACGGATAACATCCTGGGTACCAGGGAAATCAAAAAGTTGATTGCGAATGGTTGCTGGCCAAACTTGGGCCAGCTTACCAGGATAATGTTGCAGTTAGTGTCTTAATTTACGGGCTGTGGCTTGGAGTCATGCATGCACCTATGGGAAGTAGCCGCAGTCGCCTACCCGGCGGCTTCCATAGGTGCAAGTATTATTTTTAAACCATAGCAGTGACATTCAGACACAGCCCTTGAAAGCAGTGCTTATGTATTTTCGCCACAAGGTCTGGCACCTGTACAGTTCATGCACCAACCCCATTAGGAATCGTTTGGGTGCCACATTTTTCATTTCTTGATGGTCAGTGAGTAATTTCAACCAGTGGTGAATAAAGACATGACCTTCTTTTATCTTGTTTCAGCTCCACTTCAGACGACTCATAAACAAGCACACGGACGGTAAGTTGTCCCAAATCGCCTCATATCAGGGTGCCAAATCAAGTCCTCTCCAAGTACTTTTTTAATTTCTGAGTACTGACTTTAAGTACTGTTTGTGCATGCTGTTTTCATGTTTCTAAAAAGTTAGTCCCTGTACATTTATTTTAACCTGTGATTGTCGTTCTTTCCAGAGTCACTCGGTGATTGTTCTTTCCTGAACACCTGTTTCCACATGGATACCTGCAAGGTATGCTGTGACATCTAAATACATATGACACGGTTAAACTACTTGGAGCAAGACTCAGGAAATTCATTTTATAGTTTTGTTTCCAGGTACATGTATCTGTCATGAAGGCAGAGGTTTCTTTTTTTTTGGCCAAGAAACAAGAACAGGTTTTTTTAATAGTCACTGTCTTTGATTTTCACGCAAATTGGCCATGCGAGAATAAGTCATGGAACTGGAACAGAGGTTCATGCAGTATCCTTCTACAAACTACATAAATATTTTATTTAAGTGTATATTATGAAATATTTCTGATAACGGAATCAAATATTTCTTCAAAAAAAAGGACCCATTGCATTGTATGATGGAAGCCCATAGAAACTGCACTTCCTGTTTTGAAGAACCTCCGATGATTTCTTCAGAGCTTTATGCTTTGTTAAAGAAGGATCCAAATCAATTTCGCAGGAGATTCAAGTCACGGAAATCACACTTACTTGACCTGAGTTACATCTTTTAATACTGCAGTATGTGCACTATGAGATTGAGTACCCATCCAAGCCGGACAACGGCCAGCAAATTCTGGGCGCTCCGAGGGGCATCCGCAGCAACAGCAACGTGACCATGATCCCCGCCCAGGTAGGGCAGCAGGGTGCGGCTCAGTTTGGAGTCGGTGGTTGGGGATTGGGGGAGGATGAACACTCAGGTCATTCCATGAGTTTGGAGTATCAGTTTATAAGGGATGTTGTTGGAAGTCCCTGCAGCACTGTCGCGGCACAAGCCGTCTTCACTTCACCTTGACCACAGCTGATTATGAGGGCGGGACTGTGGTGGACTGCGTCCAATAACATACGTTAGTTTGGAGTATCAGTTTATAAGGGATGTTGTTGGAAGTCCCTGCAGCACTGTCGCGGCACAAGTCGTCTTCACTTCACCTTGACCACAGCTGATTATGAGGGCGGAACGGTGGTGGACCGCGTCCAATAACATACCCAGTCTCTTGTGAAATCAGTGTCGAGTGGAAAGTTAGAAGAACAGTTTGGAACTCTGAAAACATGTGACTGAATGTTTGGAGGAAAATTTGACCTCAACTTTCCACGTCAGTCCTGGACTGTGTTCTAGCTTCTCTTCCCTGGTGATGAACCAGAAGTTTCTGTTCGGTGACAGTAATTGCAAATTAAGCAAATTAAGTACAACACTGTCGAAAAATTGGAATACCACATGATATATTATTATTCATGAGCTTATTAATATTGATGAGGGAATTAGCTACCGTTTGGAAAACCTGCAGTGGCCTGTGACTAGTCCTCTCTAATCTTCCTGAGACCAACATCGATGAGCAGTTCTTTCCTGGTGAATGGGTCCTGTTAACTTTTTGTCTCTTTCTTGTTTTGTTTGCTTGCTTGTAGTGGATCCAGTGTGACCTCCGACACCTGGACACGACCATTCTGGGCAAGTTTGCCGTCGTCATGGCAGACCCACCCTGGGACATCCACATGGAGCTGCCCTACGGGACCATGCAGGATGACGAAATGAGGCATCTCAACGTCCCCGTCTTGCAGGACGAGGGGTACATATTCCTCTGGGTCACCGGAAGGTGGGTATGATGCGGTCCTGTGGTGACTTACAAATGGAGCGAAGATTGCAGCGGAGAAGAGACAAAAGAATGCCTCGTACCTTGTCCTGGAGAAAGGACAAAGTTGACGAAATGCTCAGTCCTTAGAACTGATCAGCCATGATCTACATTTGGAGTGCAGGTCGCCATCACACCCTGGACTGTAACGTACAAATTATTTTCAGCACGACTTGCAAGTTCAGCACAATGGAGACCACTTTGCTAATACACAGATGGAACTCAGAAAAGTTGATTTGCATTCAAATTGAAACAACTGGACTGTTTTTAAAACAGGCCCCCCCCCACCAGTCTCTGTTTTTCTTCGAGGTCAGTGTTTCGTCGAGTCCCTCAAGACTTACTTTTTCAAGATACGGTTTTCTTTTCTTTTCTTTTCTTTCTTTTTTTTTTGCACAATCCAAGAGCCATGGAGTTGGGGCGCGAGTGCTTGAGCCTGTGGGGCTACGAGCGGACCGAGGAACTAATCTGGGTCAAGACCAACCAGTTGCAGAGGCTGATCCGGACGGGGCGAACAGGTCACTGGCTGAACCACGGGAAAGAACACTGCCTGGTATGTATCGAATGCATCAGTGTGTCTGTAGTAGGGTTTCAGCAAGCCACAGTATTCCAACAAAGGCGAACATTTAGTTGCAGGAATGAAGACAGAGTTTTGCCAAATTTGTCAATTTCTTTTTTTGTTTTTTTTGTTTTTTTGGTGTAATTCATACAAAAAAAAGTTCCACTGGGTGACTCCCCCATTGGATTTCACATAGAATGTGTTTGTTGTCGTCCAATCCCACGATGCAGGTGGAACGTTGAACAGGTTTACATTAATCACAACTTGAAGATGAGGTCAACAGAAAGAAGATGTTGTCAGGAAATGGATAAAACCTAACATACTTTGGAGGCAGATGCAATTCCATGCCATTCAGTACTAGGCTTTTGATGTTTATGGTGGTGTTAAATTTGGACCATGTTTCCGTATTTAGGTTGGAAGGAAGGGCGATCCGAAGGGGTTTAACAAAGGTCTGGACTGTGATGTCATCGTTGCCGAGGTGAGGGAAACCAGCCACAAACCAGACGAGATCTACGGCCTGATTGAGAGACTCGCACCGGGCACCCGCAAGATCGAACTGTTTGGACGTGCCCACAACGTCCAACCAAATTGGTAAGACGAAGTCCCCACATCAAAACAAGCGGAAAACTCACCCCTCTTGGTGCTATTCCACAAGTTCTGCTGTGGTTAGGGAGTGTTCAAAAAAAATTGCAACGTCTCTGGACCAAACGGAACACTGCTTTAGGGAACCCTGTGAGTTCTCCTTGGGAAATTGCCATGCCCCAATGAGGAAGGGGCTGTTTCGGAGTAAATCCTACAAAGGCAATGATCACATTCCCCATTTGGGAACACATGTCTTGTTCCCAGTAGGAACAGCAGGTGTATCCAATTAGATTAAGCCAAGCTCCCAGTTGGAACCTTTTCCAGCGCTCCAGCTTATAGGGGGCCCCCTTGCTATCTGCAGGTTTACTCCGTTGCCCCTTTTGTTCCGAAATGGATCAGTTTAGAATAACTTCGTGCATCTGTGTTAGCGTGGCACAGCTAAACACGAGAAGACTGATCCACTGTGAACGAACTACTTCCCATTTGACAGTCGTACGAGTTCCACCGTACTTGGGTTAATTTTCCAGATTACCTTTACGCAAAGGTGAGTTCTTGTTTGAACTCACGAGTTTTGCATGATTAGGGCTTTTTGAGTCAATTGAGACTTAGAGAAAATTGAGTATGCCATAATAGGTACGCATGTTACTGATGTCAACACCAGATGAGATTTGACAAAGTAAAAAGTGGACTGCGGTTCTGACAAGGACAGGGATTTAATAAAATTGAATCGTTACACAGTTTTTTTTCCCAGGAAACTGACTTGTTTGTAAACTCCACTTTTGTGTGGTTATTTTTTTGGGGTTTTAATATTTGTTTTCAGGATTACACTCGGCAATCAGTTGGATGGAGTCCACCTCGTCGAACCCGATCTGATCGACCGCTTCAAAGAGGTGTATCCCGACTGGAACGCCATGATACCGCCTCAGAAAAAGGCAATTGCGAGCGCTTAGCTACATTAATACCTGAATTGAATGGAACCAAACTCCAACCGGCCATTTTGTTTGGCTTGGGCAAAGTTGAAAGGGTCCAGGCAGTGGATTTTCTGAGATGCACTTTTTGTGCAACTTTAGACTCTTCTTCGATGTAAGAAGACCATTTGACTTTTTTTTATACCCGGTAGTTGAGTGCACTGAAAAGTAAGTTATTTTGTCTGTTTTTAAAGTTCAAATTGTCCCTGATTTTCTGAACAGCAGAGGGGCAGAGGAATTTTGCATGCGGTGAGATTATGTGATCAGTCTCTTGTGAGCAGGTGTGGTTCTGCTAAGAATCGTTCTTAGAAGAACCGCACCTGCTCACAAAAGAGATTGATCACATGGTGTCACCACAAGCAATGTTCCTATTACTTGCGTCTGCATGAAAACCAGTAAATTCCCAAATAGCATTTAAACTGGCAAAAGTTCAATAAATGTAAAGGTGCTTTTACATGGGCTGTACCAAAGAAATTTCCATCGCATGGACCTGTCAAGGAGCATTTCAAAACAGGCTCAAATTGTTCAAAAATACGGCAGGTTGTAATTTGAAGTATTTGCCCGCCAGGAGGAGCTTAGGCACAGCAGGGTAGCATTGCAGAGAGCAATGTTTAACCAGTTCAGTTCACTCGGCAGGGAAACCTGTCTCACCAAATATACTGTGCATGACATTTTGGTCTGTATTAAAGCGAGTATTTTCTTGTTTAAGTTCATTAACCTTTTGATTTCAAATTATCCAAGGGCAGATCCACATATTTTTTTTAAAAATAATGGGAGAAAGGCAAATTTTTGGTGTTTAATTTTCCTTCCTGCAAAAAGAGTGTTAAAAGGACCAAAATGTTGCCTCGTTCTTTTGGGGGGGCCTTCCCTCCCCCAAAAATGGGCCTAGGTCCATCTTTGAATTAGCAAAAAAACCTTTTTTTGAAAAATTAGTTGAAAGGAACCATTACCGGCTGAGAATTTACGGTGAGCATTGCTGGTATTGGTGCCGGAAGCGTGCCGGAGGGGGAGGCCTGTCGCCCCATCCACATTTTGACTGGGGGGCATGCCCCCCCCCTACTTTTTGCAGGTCCTATTATTGGATGGGGCTCAGTGGATCGAGCCCTTAATGGCTGATGCATTGATGGTCTAACAACTGCTCCCTCCCCACTATGAAAATCATTCTGCTGTGACTGGTGGTGCCACCGGAAATATATCTGGTTTTGAGAGGATTAAGAAGCAGGACTTTAGAGACTTTGAGACGAAGCGAAAACCTGCCCAAGAAAGAAAGTTTGAAACATACCCACTTTTTATGGAAATCAAAGTGTTGTAATTTTTCCCCCACATTTCTGGGTGCATTTTTTTTTATACCTTGTAAATCTTAAAGCATGTCTGCACTTCCATTGGTAGGTTACGAAATAGCAAAAATAGCATTGGAGTTGTGGAAGGTGATAAAATATTGAAAAACAGTTCTGTGTGTGCATATTCTTTCATTTTATAGGGAAGAAAATTTGTTGTAAAAAGTAATTTAACATCTCTGCACCGTGTGAGTACTTTTTTCATCAGGGAAAATGTTAAAAGTACAATCGGCAAATGATAGGTGTGACACAGTTCCATGTGTTGAAGGATGATTGAAATAGTTTCTTACGCGGGAATGACATATTGCTCATGAATTTCAAATCGTTTGAGTACAGAACCATGCCCTAACTAAGATATTTCTTGAGGATAAAATCCTCTTCTCGGGGGAAAAAGCGGCATTAAACGACTGGCTTTGACTTCTAAGGTGCAGTCCACTAACTCAAGCCCCATTGAAAACTGTGTAAAATCAGCACTGTTCAGGGCCCAATAACATGCACCCCAACATCCCTGAGAAACACAAATGAAATTCTTGTCAAGTCGCAAATCTTTCAATTTCTTTCAATTTTTTCTGTGTTAACCAGTTACATTTTTAATTATTCCCACAAATCAAAATCATCCCCCAACCCTCAACTTTCTCGGGCACTTAGGACCATTTTTCAACCGTAGATTTTTTGCCATTCTGCTCTCATATGAAAGCTCAAAGACCCAGGGAGTTGATCCTGGCAAGGATTTGCATAATCTCACCATTTTGGGGGCCAGACAATCTCCTTTTTCAGAAGATACTGCGGGTAGGGGCACTTTAAGTGCTAATGAGCTGGCCAGAAATTCTCACTTAAATTAGTGGTCTGCACCCTCCATGCGATAATAGCATTGTGTGCAGAAGTTTGATATGAAGTACAAAATTCGACTAAAGAGGGCGTGCTCTCTATTTCGGTGTGCTGAGTTTAGACGGGTGCTCTTCTGGTGAAAAAGTTTCCTGCTAGTTGTGTTTTACATTCGAGGGCAAATGTGTCTGGGAGCGAGACTTGCCAGGAATGAGCGCGATCTGAAGCAAAACCCAAAGGTTGGTGATTTTCATTAAATTTTCTTCAAATTAGAAATTGCTTTTTCTCTTAGACAGTAATGGTTGTTTCTAAGAACTTATTCCATATTGCAGATATTGTGGTTTCGAAGATAGGGAATGGTAAGTGGATTTAAATTGTGATAATGATTGTCCCGATGCGATGTTAACATGGTCAGTGATGGTAAATGTCCCGATTTTGCATTTTTGTCACGTGTACGGTATAGCCTAGCTCCACAAATAGGGCTGTAGTGGCTTTCTTTTTCGATCTGTCTTTTATCTGTCGCCACTACTGCCCTACTCCAAGGCATGTCTTAACTGCCTGAAATCCAAACTGCAGGATTTTCACTAGGTTTGAATCCTAATATCTTCCGAAATGAGAATGACTCAAAAATTTTATCAACACCGGCATTTCTCAGAGTTTGGACTGTCATACCAGCACCCTAAAGCTTTCCTAAATTGTAAATTTTCTGATGTATGGCGTCTTGAAAAACCTGGCTGACATGACCACGGGTGGCACCATTTTGACAAACGAAAGCAGCGCTTCTTGCATCGGAAGTCAAGGCACCCGACAGGTGCCATAGATGCATAATTCATGTAGTCACAGTACTGCTTATTAACTGACCCCCTAGGCCTTTTTACTAGAAACCATCCTGAACCCTCCGAAATCCTCCGATTTTCAACATGAATAAACTGCATTCAGCCCAAATCCTCCAAGATCCTCCGAAATTTCTTGGGAATGTCATTTGGAGGTGTGCCCAACTGCCTAAATCCTTCAAAATCCTCCAGCAATTCCTGTTGTTATGTTGAGGCAGTGCGAATGGCACTCTTGAGCTGTGTAGTTGATTCAAAAGAAATATCGGGCTGCATTTGTGCTTGACTAAGCACAGACAACTTAAGGTCTAATCCACGATCTTCACGTATGGCATTCTTGGAAATCAGCCATGCACTTTTAACATACATCCTGAATCCTCCAAATTTCTCCATTTTGCAGAAAAGGATTTGAGAGGGTTAGGGTTAATCAGTGGCGTGTGCACTTTGCTAGTGTACAGTACGCCCACAGCATGTGTGTGGAGCATGAAACATTGACATGCATATTACCGTTATTCAAATTTAATTTCACCGGTTCCCTGTTCGTCTGTTACACAAGGTGTGATGGGGAACCAGTTTTGTATGGTACAACTTATGCTGGAGTGCTTATCGGGTGCCTTGAAATTCAATGCACAAAGCGCTGCCTTCATTTTTTAAAATGGCGCTGCCCATGGTCAGCATAGAAATATCACAGGCCAAGTTGTCAAGGCGCCATATTTCGAAAAATATACGGTTTGGGAAAGCTGTAGGTTGCTCAAATAAAAGTTAAACTCTGAGGAATATGCCGGTGTAAGTAAAATTGTCGAGTCACTCTCATTTCCGAAGATATAAAGATTCAAAGTTTGTGACAATCCTGCAGTTGTAAAAGAGAGCCACTACAGCCCTGTTTGTGGGGCTAGGTATAGTCTACACAGAAATATATTGGGGTCGATCTGCGTTATCAATCAATCATGGCTATTGGTCTGTCTTTGTTTGATAGCGATCTTGGTGCACAATTTGTTGATAATTTTGCCATAACCAGCCAATCAGCTTTTCTGTCTACTGTGTGGTTGAACTTGAAGAAGATTGTTTGCCTAAAAAGGGAATTGTCACGATTGTAATATTCATGAACGTGTATCATGTAGGCTTAGATTTATGTGGCCGTCTTTGTTGAACAGTGCAATCCATTTCGTACGTACACGGCCTCGTTTTCCTTTTTTTCGCCAGTCCAATTTTAGCACTGCAGCGCAGCTGTGTTGGTAATGTATTTCCCCATGTCTAAAAATAACCCAAAGTGTTTGGAAACCCCTTTTCTGTGACATTTTCTGATATGTACACGAAATACACAAGGTGTGATGACGTAGTCACAGGTCATTCATTTTATCTTGCCCAGAAAATATTTCTGAAAAACCTCTTGAAATTCACTCTTCTCGTCCGGATCAAATATTGATTTTTTAATTAGTTATTAGTTGATTTGTGAAATCTGACGAGATTTTTTATTGATCAGCAAATTGTTCTTTTTCGGCCCTCAGGATACGTATTCGATCTCAGATTTATCCCTACATGGTACGAATTTCGCTGGAGTTACGGCAATTACATTGTCCCTTTATTGCTTCTGATTAAGTTTAATGGATTTTTTGAAGTGTGTAGATGTGTTTACGGTGGATTTTGTTATTGGAAATGACGGTTCAAACTACTATGTTTGAAGATGAAAAAATATTGTATTGCTGCACTTTTATTGAGGAAATAAAGCCGTATACTAATTGTGAGTCACGTGACCTGAATACCACTTCCTGATTGGCTAAGACTCAGTCATCACCTCTTCTCAGCTGACTTTCTTTTCTTATTTCAAATGGACATGAATTTTAAGGAAATGGTAAGCCATAATATTTATTTTAAGAAAATTCCAAACTTTACTGGGTGCGTAACACTGTGAGATTTTAAATGCAGCCCCTGCAGTGTCCTTTTGTTGTCGAAACTGTACTTTCTTAAACGTTCCCCCAAAAGCCATCAACTAAATACGGTAGTTTCTCTTTAAAACGCATGGCCCATGGTTTTTGGACGTGTAACTGGTGAGTTGTTATCCACGATCCGCACATCTGCGCACTGTGGCAGCATGGCACAATGTACATGCGCAAAGTCGCAAACATCCGGTGTCGGTGCGACCGTGTTCATTGATGTTGCACATGTGCAGCGTGTGATAAATTGTGTCGTAAATGGCCTCGGTATGCAGATGTGCAGATAATTTTGTGAAGAGAGGCAGGATGGTAAGTGAAAACATTGCCCCAAATGGCTGGTCACATGGTCCAAAAACTTTGGGGTCGTGCATTTTCAAGAGATGGGATTTAGTTTTGGTGGCTTTTTGGGGAGAAGTTTTGATACACAAAGTGCACTGCCGTTTCGATGACAAATGGAAGGACATTGCCGGGGCCGCATGTAAAATCCCATAGTGTTATGAACCCATTAAAATTTTTGAATCAAGGCAAGTTCTGCAGGTACCTATACTAAGCTCTAACACATAGATCAGTTACGCTGGTGTCAGGTAAGGTTGTACTGTGTGTGTGAAATGCACTGACGTATACGCAAACGACTCGACAAGGATCAGCGTGGCCGGTTGGTCCGCGTACACATGTAGATTTCAAGGCACTGGTTTTTTTTATTCATAACAACAATAGTCGTCTCAAGTGTATACAGTTATTGCCAAAATTTCCACCAGTCGTTTTTAATGTCCATTTTTTTAAAAATGTTTTAGCTGTCCTGTTTTATTGTCTATTTTGGCCCATCCAAAATCACTCGCTCCCCATCCAAGAGACGGGTGAACATGTCACCAGATGAGATCCTGGTGACATCCATAACTTAACCAGCTGAGATTTGATCGAGCTGCTGGCGATATTTTCCCTTTCAATATCAAATAAACCTTCACCAAACACATGATCGCAATCTTTTGTGAAGGAAAGGACCTATTGTAAATCAAAACAAGAACACAATTAGGTTGAACCAGATGAGAATAGCAGTTTTGGATGCTACTTAAAATTTGTAGAGCTGTAATTTGTACATGTGGAATTGTTTACAAAACAGTGTTGCAGGCAGTTGGATCTGGCTCTCCTTACCGATACATTAACAAGGGATCTAACCATTCTGTGGTTTCCCCATGGAAACAAAGCATTGAACACGTGCTGCTGTTGGAACCACAAACCACCCGGTTATCTTGAAATCTTCTGGTCAGAAGTCACTCAGAATTGAACCTTTTAAAAGGAAGGAAATGGTTATTTGTGAACATGCATGTATGCTTTTGTCTACTGAGCCACACATGCTTGGTGCTGATGAAAGATAGTTCCATGGTGTTTTACTAATATGGGGAAGTCACGAAAGAGTTGAGGCGAATATTTAAACATGTCTTAACATGTTTCAGCAGTTTCTTGCAACTGTCACCGAAGAGGTATAACTGTTCACAGGAAAGTTGGTCAGTAATGCCAAATCACCTCTATTTCATCAAACTTGGAATTGTCAGGCGCTCCGGGCATGTGTTTCCTCATACATGTTGTAATTTGAGATCAGTATATAAAATAACAAGCCTTGAGATTGTAGTGACAAGCCCCCCAAAGAAGCTGTCAAGAAATCATGAAAAAAAGGGACCATTTTACGTGACATGTGCAAGGCGCACCCTAAATAGGTTTGTCCTCTGTCCAGTTTTTTTTTGAAGTGGCCTCAAGGTGCCCCTGTCTTTTGAAATCTATTTTCAGGGTGGGCTGTGGCTCTGGTCAGTCAACTGATCGTCAGTTTTAGGAGAGGTTCAAGCCAGCCTCTTAGTCGATTTCTAGATTAATGCACCCAAGACAGTGGTGTAGGGGTGAAGCTTTGTTTCTTATTTGTGCCTTTCCATAGTGTTATTGTGTCCACCTTTGATGATGATGTCCTAAATTCACAAATCACAGAGTTCTACTACCTGTAATTTTCTAGAAGTAATTTCCAAACTTTCCTGTGCTTCAGCATTTTGGAAATTGGGAGAAGTCATTTTTCAAGTTGAATTGAATCTTGAGGTTTTAATTCTAACATAGGCACGCGTGTCATTTTCTTTTTAACGTGAGCTTTCAAATCGGCTGATGCAAGCGGCAACACAAATTGGCCCACTGTCTGCCACACGTGGTGGAAATCAATCGGCGCATGTTCAAAATAGGTGATTTGAGGTCAGGAGATTAATATACAGATCATGAAGATTTATGAACCCTACATGTTGCAGTGACTGCGGGTTGGAAAAAAAAATGAGGGGGGGGGAGAGGTGAAAAGAGATTAAAATTCAAGTAATGGACAAAACAGATGTGATGCTGTGTTCCTTTGTGTGCATGTGCCTGGTACCCCGTGACCTCGTTGTACCGGCAGATACAGGTACGGTACCTCATTAATGCCAATTGTGGGCGGGGCTTGGGGGGGCTATTGATTCACTGAGCGGTTTTATTAGATTAATGAATAATTCAATAAATAAAACTAAACAAATAACCTTTTGAAGTACTCTGGTTATTATCGTATTACATCGGTAATTTTAGAACATTGTACGTGCAATTTCTGCTCCATTTACTGCCCTACGTTATTGTGCCTGTGTGGCCTTCAGGTTGGCCTGTTATTCCTATTTCAACCCCCTCCCCCCAAAAATAGACCTACTTGTACTTTTGTTCTGTCTTTCTGAATCAGTGAGGATTGAAGTTTCAGTGTAGTGAACAAAAATTATTCAAATAACAAAAATACAAAATAAGAACAATTGTAGGAATGATTGTTGCTTTTGTAGCAGAAAGCGACAGATTGGGAATGGCCTGGTGTTTGAGGTAAACATCTATGGTCTGGGCTTCATGTCTGAGTCTGACGTGACCTAAAAGAACTAATTTGTTGATGAACCTTACTATTTAGCTATCATAAACCAACATCAATCATACGGTTGCCAGACATAAACTCTGCCTAATTAGATTTTTCCGTTATTAATTTTGACATCGCAAATAATTAATTGTGCACGGGATATCTTCCCCTGTTTGCTTGCATCAATCAAGTGAGTTGATAAGTCACCTATTGAAAGGCTCGGGCCCCTCTTAATTATGTATGAAACAGTCAACAGACGACAAGCCTTTTTTTCCTCCTTCCAAGGCCTAAACTCTTAAATCAACAAACCGGAGCTCTGCGCAGCATTTTAGGGATTGAGACAGTAAAAAGTATCAAATAATGAATTTGAATTAGACCTCAGGATGTGTCCTGGCAACCTAAGAATTTCATCAGCGGAGGGAAGGATGCGATAGACTTGTTGGGAAGGGGGGGAGGACGAGGTTGTGGCAGGGAGAGCTTGGTGGAGGAAGAGCCCTCGCCGAATTGTGATTCTGCTTTTTTTTTTTTCCCCTGCCACTGGAGTGGGCTTAATTGGTTGGTCCGATGAGTAAGACCTATTAGTTGATGGTAATTGATTAGCGATTGGACGCAGTGATGCAAGTTGAACAAACAAGGGCTGTATCAGTCCACTGTCGTCCCCAGAGGAGCAGGACGGAAGGAAGGAGTGGGAACGCTGGTGATTCATTCATCTGGGTTGCATTGAGTACTCGGGAAATTAAGGGTGCTTCACTCGTACTACCGTTTTGGTTGTGAAGGGGGGGTGGGGTAATGGTGATGTCCTCAGACAATGGAGCTGATGTCCTCAGTTTGTTCTGGACATGGTGTGGCTAATTCCATCAGGTCCTCAGTGGCTCATGACGGTAGTAGTTGTAGTTCCGTTAGCCATCCTGTGATGGAAGGACAAAATGTTACAAGTATCCAAGGGCATTTTACCATTGGGCAAAGGCACAGTGGCCACAGTTTTCTGCTGTTTTGTATCCTCCACCATTTTGTTTGTGCAGTGTTGGCAAGATGCCCGAATATCCACCGGCGCGTCAAATAGCGTTGTGCTTAAATTCTGTGGAAATGCGGTCTCAAGGGGCTGTCTTTCGTGTGCCAGATGTGGCTGAACCACTAAACCTTTTTATTGAAATCTTCATGTACCAGTAGGTTTTACGCCATGTGCCAGAGATTTTAAAGCATTTGAGCAATTTTTTAAAAGGAGTTGGGACAGTCTTGAGGCTGAAACATCATCCTTATCTCATTATCTTGGCCATTACACTTAAAAGACAAGTACATGAACATGAAGCCAGACCACCTGCATGCCCTGTAATAAACTTTAATGTCAGTGTTTATAACCCCGGCGTAAACTCTGGAATTACTTGACAATTGTGTAATCTTATTCGGCTTTATTGAAAAAAAAAAGCGATCAGTCGGACAGCAAACAGCTACATATATATAATAAAGCGCCTTTTGTTGAATGGATTCAGCAAAGGGGACTGATGGGATAATTGATTTTTACGGCTGGTTGGCCTTCCGAAGCTGACTTGCTGTCTGAGGATTTTGAAGCCAAGTGCAGTGGTTGCCGGCAGTTGCCCCTTTTTTTTCTCTCTCTTTTTTTTTGGTCGATCGAAAAGAGGGAATGTATTTTGTCCTTATTGCTTGCTGCAGTGGAATCAAATGGCCTAATTGTAAACCGGCATGCTCACTGTTGTCAGGGGGGAGATTTCCCGGAGTAGGATTGAAAACAAAAAGGAGAATAAAAGTCTTGGTTTTGGATTGCTTCATGTGTCAGGAAAGGTCGTGAGTAAGTTGCGATCCCTTTTCATAAATCCGAAATTGTTTAGCCCCAATCAGAACCATTATGAACCGTTTTCAAGTACGTGCACCGGTGCAGTGTAGTATATGATTAATTGATCCTCACGGCAGGTATTTAACTTCTGATTCAGCTGACACGTTTCAATGAAAAAGTTCCAAATCCATTTACAGATTTTCCCAAACAGTTCAAATGGAACCGCCCCTTTTAGAAGTTTGACGTTTTGATTGATGCAATCTGGCATTCATTTTTACTGTAAACAATGCCTGTAAAACACTTTCCCTTTTGGCATCCATGTATGTTTTGAGAAAAAGAAAGTAGATTGTAAAACACTAAACATTGCTTGTTTTACATGTAAATGCCTCAACATCAGTCCACATTTCTACATTGATTGGACCATTTTCATTGTTGAACTATATAATTAACACCACCAAGGTAGGCGGCGGCCTCTGCAAAGTGTTGGCTAAACATTTAAACAGTATGGGGAAGTTTTCCTCTAAATGTCTTTCAAATTAAACGTAAATTCCCGCCCATAGTGATGAATTAAAAAAAGAAATACTTGTTGAAATTGAAGACTTTATTTTAACGGATGCAAAATAACTGAAAATTGAAACAAAAGTCTCAAACGATACTGGGCATAAAACGTTCTTCACCCCCCCAGAAAAAGTGGGCCCAAACGGAGACAGGCCTGCTAGTTTCAAAAATGCAAATGGATGACAAACATTGTGAAAATTCTCTTTGCAGAATTGTTTGTTTTGATGATTTCAGGGTGAACTACGTGTTCCTTTCCTTTCTCTTTATTGAAATTGATGAGAAAATTAGTGTAATAACTATGTAGAAAATCAGTTATATTTACAAATAGGTCATTTGGGAGACATTTTGTGGTAAATTTTTCAACTACCAGAAGGAGGCCGAATTTTGCTGTCCATATTTTGAGAGATGATAGTTTAGGGCCTAAAATGAAAACATACACAGTTTGGCTCAGATCAGACTAGGGAATATTGAATTATGGGACAGTAAAGTTGGAAAAATTGTGTGCACATTGTAATGGGAATGTCTCCCTAATAACCCATTAGCAGTAATTATTATTCAAATTAATTATTACCGAAATTGAACAAGGGGAAGATTGATTGATCGACATAAGTAATAATCTTCTGGCTGTGTTCAGTCAATCTTTCAAGTTAAATTCCTCTTTTCAAATTAAATTGAATTTTGCCAAATTCATTATTGTGAAGGATTCCCTTTTGAAAACAAGACTCCCAAATCAAAATTTGAATAATAACTCATACAAATCTGTTATGACACCATTGGCCTTAGCTTGTGTGTGTGTTACTAGGCAACACACGCAGCACCATCTGCAGCGCACAAGCGTGTCAGTCGCTCTGAACAAAAGGCGTCCACACAGGCAGGTAGCGTACACCTTGTGTAGACTTCCCCACGTCCACACAAGGTTTTCCCCTCCCTGAAAAAAAAAACCGGTTTAGAGGCATTTTGGGGTCAGGGTTATCATCATCACATGAAGAAGAACAGTCAAGAAAGTCATCAAAAATCAATCTAGAAAGAGCGTCCACAGTTCGAAATGAGTACAGTTGTAACTACAAAGAACAGAAAACGTCCACAGAGAGCTTGTACATTTACTTCACAGGAGAGCGAATACTTCAGCAAAAAGACACTAAGCTCTAATCATTTTGTCCCTGGCCTCTTGATAATCCCAGCATACAGGCACCTACATGTAGGTTCTACCTTTTCAAACACTGTACTGCTAAATGTGCAAGTATGTGAGTAGGCCAGTTGTACATATCTTGATACAGGTCACCTTTTTTTTGCTTTCTGTTTTGAATGCCTTGGGAATTTGGTTTTTTTTCCCATACATTTCTGTACCAGTTTTTCATCTCACACCGTGTATTGTTCGTCCTGTTCTGCAGATGATTTTTTGGACCTTTTCCATACAAGTACAATCCATACTGTAAAAATACACTCATTATTACAGTGTGTGATGATTTGTTTTTCTGTTTATTTCTGTGTATAGCGCCCTCTACTGACAAGATTCACATAAGCAGAAGAGCACAAAAAGGTAGGACTTTTAATACAAACAGATTGTGTTCCGTATAATGTGGAAGATTGTTGAAGTTGATCGGTTTGTCCCCGCTCATGTATACCTTTGGACAGGTTTTAAACATTGTTTCGGTCCATTGAGGCTCCAGGTTTCATAATTTACGACTCCCAAATTGATGTACCAGTGCGATGATTGCTGTTCATTAGTTCGCTTTTCCTCATATCCATCCATTATTAATGCCCGGTCTGAAATCATGGCCCTAAAATTCTATGTTTTTTTTTTGTTTTCTATTTTTTTTAGGCTAATAATATGTTTCAGTGATGGATGTGAAAGTTTGTAAGTAATATGGATTCAATTGAATGCACCTGCAGTAGTGGTACACTGCAGCTGACTAACATACATACATCCTGCATACATTTACTTTTATTTACTTTTATTTATTTACTGTTTAGAGCTAGGCAGAATTTTATCCAAAATTGCTTGCTCTGAGTTTTCATATTTAATTTATAAAAATTTTGTAAAGTTCCTTTTAGATTGAGTGTAATTGAAAAGTGCACTTTTTAAAAGCATTCCAAATTCTCTGTGCTTTTCTGGACAACTGAGGGCAGTGTTGTTGTGATGTCATTCGGGGAAGACGCAGTTCGGTGCGCAGGTTTTAATGTTCAAATTATGAACTTGGAGTTTATTTTCTGAAAAGATTTTTAGAAAGGATTACTTGCTTGCATATTGTTTTGTTCTTGCCTTGCATAAGACAAGAAATTAAGGCCAGCAAAGTGTAACGAAATTCCAGTAACTTTTTTTGTGCCCAAACCAAGGTTTTATTGAGGTTTTCTCTCTGGGATGACATCACAGATGTGCTCATGAATGTGAAAATACTTGTCAGCGTACATTGTATAAAAACATTGCATACATGTTCCAACTTTCAAAGTACTGAAACAGAACTTGAAAAAGAGCCATATTGAGACAGACATGTAAAGGCAAATGTTCAAAGTTTGTATGAAAACAAATTGCATTGTAGTGGCCGCTTAACAAAACTCACCGTGTTCTCAAGGGATTTTCTTTCGTGAATGACACAGGGAAGATAAAAGTGTTCGCCTATGGATAACTGAAAGAATAAGCATTGCGATGCCCTTCATTAAAAACTTTACAGTACTCAAACCTTAAATCCTCCCTAAAATCTTGAACGTTCTGTGGCTTGTGGGTTTAGGATTCAGCGTATTTATCACATGGTTCCTCCTGGTGCAGTTTGTCAAGCAGTTTCTACGTTTCTAGAGGATTAATCCACAGCTAATCCTGCGTTCGAAAGGATTTCTAGTAATTCTGGCACTATTACCCCTCATACACTTCTTGTATTTTAGAGAGATCAGGATTGTGTGCACCCCTGCATGTGCTGTGAGCTTTGCCAGAATATTTGAATCTTCAAATGTGTTTTGTTTGCTTATTTGTAATGGCACGTAATTTGTCATGTACATGTAATTTCAAGCTGCAGAAACCACTTCAAGTCATATCTTTGGACCAGTGTGTAATAAACATTCTTGTGTATTGATTAGAATGGTTAGCATTTTTCATAAATTGGATTGTGAACACAACGGAAATGGTTAAGGTCAGGAGACAGAAAAAAAATCGGATGAAAAAAAAATCATTTGATTACTCTCATACTGGTACATGGTGATTTGAAAATGTTCAATAAAAATTTCCTCCAAATATTAAAAATTCTTTGTCCAGAAAAAAATTTACCAAACTATCATTATTTTGTCTTTTCTTTATTCAATTCAGAGCCAGTGCATTTGTAATCTAAAAAAATAAAAGGAAGTTGCCGGTTTAACTGCGCTTGGTAAAGTTTGTTGACCCTTTCTTCCATTAGCATCATATGTTTGATTGAAATTAAAATAGATATTCAGTTTTTTTCTTGTAATTGACTCAGCCTTGTTCTGCAGAATTGTGCAGGCTGCATTTGGACACGTCTCTCTTGTGAATCATTCATAAGATTACACATGTATAAAATTTACATTTGTTTGAAGGAATTTGTACCGAGATCCTTCCAATAACGGCCGTCAAAAATCAAGCTTTTCTTGCAAACAGTCCCGCAGCACATGGCATGATTCACAGCACAGCCTTTCATCTGCCTAAACATGAAACGTCCTGATGTAAATTACAGCGTGGCTAAGTGTTAAATTGAGATTAAAACGTGATCTTACAATAACAACATCCAAGGGGAAATTGAGTTTGTTGTATAAATAAACAAAGGTTTCAGGTGAATTGTAAATGGACATGGCCGGTGAAGAGCTCCTCAGTCCTGTGTTGACATTTACTTTGCCTTTGCCTTTTTTTTTTTTTTTTTTGGAACCTCTGAAATGTCAGGTACCGTACCAGGTCATCAATAAGATGCTTAAGTAAATATGCCGTCACTTTATGCAAGAATCGGGGAGAAATAATGTTACCAAAAATAGTAGTGAAATTGTGCGGCCACGTGCATGTGTATAATACATTATTATGACCTGTCGTACGGCTTTGGTGAGGTTTTTTACGGATTTGATGAGAGATGGAGTGGGAGGATTATGTTTGTGATCACTTTTTTTTTTTTATCGTCGAGTGTAGGGTTCAGTGCATGGTGTCACTCACATTGCACTTCATTGTTGCACAGGATGACATTACTAGTGTTTCGTTGCTTACAAATAAATAGCTTCAATGATTTCAGAGGCTCATGTTTTCATTCCTCCCAGAGAGGATATTCAGCAGATTTCCACGGTGAAAACTCAACGTTATGAAATCAACTTTTTCCAAACCTCTTACATTGTGAAAAAAAAAAATCAAAGCTTACTCCTGTCAGAAAATGACAATTACATGTAGAAAGGCCAGTGTTAAAAATGGCTTTTTATGCCACCGAGTGAAAGAAATTGCCCTGAGTTCAGTTCCCCCCTCAAAAAATTGTGATTTCTGTAACTTGTCTTTTGGCATAGTGAATCATTGACATTGCATAATGTGCTAACATCGTTGAGCATCATCAATATGTGCTCCAAGATTCATAAACAGTTTGTAAACAAATAAGAAATTAGTTGGATGAGAACGGGGGAGAAATCAACATTCTACTCCTGTGAGCTAGAAACAGTCAATCTGCCAAACCCACCTACAAATCATGGAGCGAATTGCAGGCTGTTCAGAGAATTTGTTTTCATTTGTTGGCTCTTGTTGAAGACAGTGGTCATGTGATTAATTTAATTCAGCGATTGCATTTATCGGTGGTACTGCGTTGCTCGGCAACGGGAGGGGGGGGACGGAAGAGTACAAGGACACTTGTCAGAATCGATGGGAAGGGAAGACACTAAGTGTGGATACAAATCAGCCATGTGCGTCCAGCAGGGACCGGGGGGGGCGTGAGGCCCATGAAGCGATTGGGAAAGGGCAAGGTGGACAGCGTCACAGACTAATGCACACTACCACTGTTGGATCCCGAGTGAGGCATCCTTTGCAGGAAAGGGAAGGGGGGGAGGCAGGGAACCAAACGTTCACAACCCAACCACTCAAAGTACTGCCCTCCTGAGGGCTTGTTAAGTCCTCCAATTAATCAGGCATTTATTACTTCAAGCAATCCCCCAGAGAGACTTGTCACTTCTTGTCACTAGTTCGGGCATGAGTAGTGAACAACTTCTCTGTGGAGAGTGTGCTTTGATAAGTACACAAAGGTAGAACTTTCAACTTGAGAACAAAGATGGCGATTGGGGTTAAAGGAAGGACCATTTTGTGAGCGAGGAGTTCAGCCGTTTTTAAACATCACAGTGGAGTGGGCATGAGGTCATACACCCGAGAGGCTGTTTGGATGTCCCATTCCAAACGTGAGACAAATGCTGTCCAAATCTCAGAGTTGTTTGTCGAAATTAGTGTCATGGCAATATGTCAAATGATTTGAAATGCCAGTAGAGATTAGGTTTCATCGTTGGTATGCTGAATTTATAATTTATGAGAAATTGTTCCCCTTGCTCTGTGAGGATAAGCGTAGCAGATTTTTGTCTAGTTAACTGTAATGAAAAATCTCGCCAGCATTGCGAATAGTCCAGTGACGCACAAAGCATAAGTGTAAGTATGAAGTGCAAAGCGCATACATTTTCAAGAAGAGCACATCAGTTCCGTCCCCCAAAAAATGCTCTCATTCAATATGTGTCCTGCTCACAGAGATCTCAAGTTAGTCTTTTATCTGCATGGTAACATTACCCAATATGATAACATTCCGTTTATCTGTCAAGACACTTGAATATTAGAATTCAGTCGGAGAATGCCAGTTTTTTTGGGTTTTTTTTTTTTTTCTTCCTTCGCTTTCAGGAGCAGTAATGGCAGCCATTACGATAACAATTCAATCGGCTGTAAAATAATACCAGGAGAGACTATTTATCCAGGGAGTCAATCTGGGATACCTATCTTGTCCCCCTGGCCGTGGTGTTTTCTTTCACTACACTTGCAGCTGTCATTCCCCGTGTGCTAAGACTACAAGGAGAGAAGAGAACTCTCTGTCTTATACAAACAGTCCACCTGTCAATCATGAATCATAATCATAAAGATGTGAATAGTGTTTAGGGTGAGGCCACAAAAATAAAAAGCACTGTGTCCAGGGCTGTGCGGTCTGATCTGTTTTCATATTTTGCCTTCATTTTTTTTTGGTAAAACATTTTTAAGAAATAGAAAACAAATATCTTTTTTTATCTTACTGACCCTTGAGGCACATGTAGGATGCTACTCTGACATGTTCAGGAAGAACAGGAAGAAACCACAGATATGAACACTGAAGAAACTTTGGGACGGATTTGTTGTGTTTTGTTGTATGTATTTGTTTGTTTGGATTTTGTATTTGAAAAAAATTGTTTTTTGTTTCTGTTTTCTGTATTATAGCCTCAAAGTGTATTTTCAGATATTAGCCTATGAAGAAAAAAAATCCGCCCAGAATCAAGGGTGAATTTGGAACCTTTTTCTGAGGGGAGGGAGTAAAAGTTTTGGAATTTTTTTGTGTAACTTTTTATGGCTTTCTT